TTTATGATGTCGAGCTGTTTTTCTTTGATAAAATATACAAATACGTAAGGTCGCTGTAGCGGTTTTATCTTTCTTTTTCTTATCAACTTGCAAATAGCTTGAAAAATATGTTAAAGTGTCTACCATATTATTAACTTACTTAGTTTTACAATTTATTTATGACTCATCCTGAGTAGTTGTTTTCTTTTTTTAAATATTTTACATTGCGATAACTAATACAATATTGCCTAATAATAATTAAAAACTATTGCTGACAAATAATTACGATTTGTTACTTCAGACTTGATTTTTTAGATATCGTTAAATGGATGGTGTTTTGCAACAACCGTCTAACCCACATTTGTTTACAAATGAGGTTAGACGTGTCAAACTGTTGATCATAATGCATACTACATCAAGCAAAATGATATAAGCCATATTAATACTCATGGAGGCGTTTGTGAACTAAGTTCTAAACCACATTCGTCAAATAATATGAAAACAGAAATTTGTAAAAATAGTCTAACCCATGTTTTCATTATAAATATGTGGGTTAGACGCTTGTTGCAAATCTTTGTAAGGGTCTTTTCATTGTGTGCACCAGATGCAAAATATTAAATTGAACAAATCTTTATTTTGACTTATTAAAAGACAAGAAATTTATTATTACGCTAATATCACAATTTTATTTAAATAAATAAAATTGCACCAAACTAAGAGCTTTATCTTTAATGGTAAAATACGAAAGTATATTATTTAAAACTGTGAATTTTCTGTGTTGTCAGCTCGGCAATTGATTTTTTTAAATTCCTTTTATCGCAGATAGTGTACCGAAAAGGTAACATAATATGTTTTGCGATTACTCGAATGTTGGTGCCATAAATGCCGACAAAAAATTGCATTGAACAAATAGCGAAACCAGTTGTTTATTATATAAAATATTGGGACTGTTGTTTGATAGTCAAAATTCTGGTCAGCAAAATATTGTAGGAATATGATAGGAATATTATAGGTATGATTTGGAAGGAATTGGGTTAAATACTGATTTCGAGATTGATCAAGATTAAATGGAGTAGGAATTTAATAAGTAGTAGTTACTTACTTTTACTAATGAACTCGAATTCAAAGTTTTTTTTGTGTATTTACCATTTCGGAGGAATAGACGGTTATTGCAAAATGACCATTTATATTTTTACAATTTTGCAAAAACCGTTTAAGCCGCTTTAAGTTATTTTTGCAATAAACTGGTTTTACTTATTTTGCTTTTGTACGATGTTTTAGATAGCCTGTAATTATTGAAATATGAAAATGTGAAAATAAAGCCTTATTTTCTATCAGTAAATTTCTTATAGTAGGTAGACACTATATGCTCATTTACTCTGAACCATGTATATGTGGCTTAGACTATTATTGCAGAACACCATCCAAATATGGTATTGTTTGGCGGGAGTACTCATATCATTACCTCTCTAAAATGGCAAGATATGGCAAAAGGCTGTTCAAATTTTAATAAAATGTATTTGTAGTTTCGTGTATGTGCCATCCAAAAATTTGAATTTTATATCCTGGCATAACAGCTATAGTTACGAATATCAAAGCCGAAAACGGGGTTTGAAAAAAATAAATTCCGTAACAAAATTTATTTATTGAGAACCTACAATTTCTAAGTATGGTAACAAGTACAAAAACAAAAAGCTCTGAAAATAATTAAACACTAGTACATATTATAGTCTCTCTTAGAAAATTAATAGAAATGACAATGAGAACTACAAAAATTAGCATAAAGACACAAAGAGGAGAGACAGAGGAATTCAGTATAAATCAAGGGATGAAACAAGGAGATGCCTTATCAACAACGTTATCTAATCTAGCCTTAGAATATTTACTACAAATATACAAAAAGGAAAACTAACAAGATATGGTCAAATAATCACATACGCAGACGATATTGCTATTATTGCAAAGAACAGGAAAATAATAAAAGAAATGTTAGAAGAAATAACAGAGAAAGGGGAGGTAATGTGACTAAAATTAAATCAAGAAAAGACAAAAATATTAAGATTAGGGAAAAGGCCAGTGAAAGAAAAAATCGAAATAGAAAGTTCTGAATTTGAAGTCCGAAATAAAAGACAAAATGCTAGCAGCGAATAAAGCTTATTTTGCAAACAAAAGATTACTTAAAAGCAAAACACTGACTAAGAAAACTAAGATAAACATGTATAACACCATGATTAGGCCAATATTATTATATGCAGGAGAAACAATGACGATGGTCAAAAAAGATGAAGAAGATTTAAAAATAGCGGAGAGAAAGATTGTGACAACTATACTGGGACCAACCAGAACAGAGCAAAATGAATATAAAAAAGAGGTTTAATCTTTGTAAGTAGGTATATTTAACAAAACCCTTAACAGGGCTACATCAAATTAACAAACGTTTTCGGAATAATAATTCCATCATCAGGTTAAAAGCAGGTTAACATGCCTTAGCCACCAAAATATTCAGCCACCAGCTGAAGTCCGTTTGAAGGGGTCTACCCTCCGGACGCTGGTACTCACATAAGGCATGGGTGTATGTTACCTGAAGTAAAATATAATAAAATATTAATCATCATTAATTTTTAACATCAATACGTACACTCTTTGGTAACTTTATTTTTTTTAAAGGGTTTTTACCCTAATATTTTGGTGACTCAGGAATGTTAACATGCTTTTAACCTGATGATGGAATTATTATTTCGAAAACGTTTGTTAATTTGATGAGCCCTTTTAAGGGTTTTTGAAATATACCTACTTACAAAGATTAAACCTCTTTTTGTGATACATGGTATACAGCCAGCTGCAGGAATTTATTTTCCTTGTGGATTTTTTGAATATAAAAGCAGAACAAATGCAGAGATTAAAGAAGACCCCAGAGTTAGATGGTTAGGTCACATTTAGCGAGCAGGAGATGAATCAGTGACATACGCAATGATAGAATGGAATCCAGGGGTAAGAAAGAGAAGGGGAAGACCGAGATCAAAGTGGCTGAAAAAAGTTGAAGAAGACCTTTAAAGGGCAGGAGCAAATAGGATCTAGAAAGCATTCTCGGTAACTCATCCGCCCTTAGAAAGCAGCATATATTTTCCTTTACAGAATTAATCCTTCGGTTTCTTCTTTTCTTCTTTCTTCTTGTTTTCTTCTTTCTTATCTTTTTTGAAGCTTGAAGCACAATATTTAGTTAAATGATATGAAACTAACATATATATATATATTTTTTTTTTACTAAAGACACCGAAGTGTAGTTACATTAAAATCTGGTCAGTAAGACCAATCATCAATTTGTTTCTAACTTAAATTACTAATGAAAACTTAAAATTAGGTGTCTACTCACTAGTATATTTCCTATTATTTCTAATAACTAGCATTCAATTTAGCATGCATACTCGCATAACACTTTGCTCCGCTTTTCACTCACTCACTATACCAGTTCAAAAGGCTTTGTCCTTTTGAGCCTTCTCTCTAGGTTCGTATTGTCGAGGAGCTGGATAGCCTCGCCGTTTACATGATGATGGAGTCGTTGTTCGTTGTTCATTGTTCATAGCTCCCTGCAAATTTCTTGATTATCTGGTTGACGTCTTCCATCTTGAGGTCCCGGTGAAGATCGTTGTTCCTAACGTACCAAGGCGCATTTACGATGTTTCTCAGCACTTTATTTTGGAATATCTGGATTACTTTGATGTTACTAGGCTTGGCACAGCCCCAGAGTTGGCAGCCATAGGTCCATACTGGCCTCATTATTTGTTTATTATTTATGGATAGAGAGGAATGCCTTCCCATCAACCAATACATTTTCTTGTAGCGGATGCCTAGGATGCCTTAGTAGATATTATATTTTTGTGTTTCTAATTTTTCTCAAATATCTTTAGTGTTTCTAAGGTTAATTGTATTGGGATTTGTTGGTGAAAAATTTGACCTTTCGTTTCGAAAAATATTAATAGAAGGAATAACTTGTGGAAGATTTATATGAACAAACTGAATCTTTGAAAACTCTTTGGAAAACTTCATTCTTGATTTTCACGGTACATTTGAGAACTGTTTTTAAACCGTAGCTTCCGTATACTGGTGAATTTTCTTGAGTTTGGGCACTCGATAATTCCTAATTCTTATTCTGGACTGTAACTATCCGTTTTCCGTCACTTGTAGATTTTTGTAGATTCTATCTTCTTTATCTTTACTTCGAAATGTTCACATGACACTGCATTTTTTGAAATTTATTAACTATACTGCACACAGGGCTTATTCGGTTATAGTTAGTTTATTACTTCCTTTACATATGTTCTGGGCCCGTATTTTCGAAACCGTTCTAACGGAAGTCGTATGCGAAAGATAATGAATTTCGAACGAAAATCGATGATTCGTATTTTCGAGTTGATTTCGAACGCATCGTATACGACGATTTTCCTACACGACTGCTCGAGTGGGTATTCACCTTTCGAATAGCGGTAAACACACGGAGTTTGACATTTCTGACTTTTGCATTTAGTTTGGTTTTTAATTGTTTACATAAGTGAGATGGCCGGCCTAAATTTTTTAATTGAAAGAAATGTTTTAAATGCGTTAGAAGATACAGAAATGTTACCGAATGTGGAGAATAGAGTATACCATGCATTTTTACACCCTCTTGAAGCCTTATCAGACAAACAATTTGGGCTTGGACAAACATTACAACGGGCTTTTTTTACTTTTTATGCATGTTACAATAGGTATCAAGTTATATTTATCTACATTTTGCTTTCGTTACTTACCTTACCCATTTTTTCCACTTTTTCTTTGCTCCTGGCAAAGCATTTAATATTTGACCTAATTTCTGCCACATTGTTTGGGCAGTTTTGTATGTAAAATTGTTTGTAAATTTCCCACTTTTTAAATCAGGATTTTCTTCCATAAAATCGTATCAGTTCTTTTTTTGTTCGGAAGATACAAATCCTCCGAACATGGAATTTTTATTTTCTTTGTCCGTATTGGAAAGAGAGAAAACAGATAAGTACGAAAACACAAGCTAAAACACGTTAACACTGTGTAGAAAATTAAGCAAATCACAAAGAATTAAAAAATTTCAAGTCTTCTGCAACAAGTAAAATAAACTTGTCAGTCAAATAAATGTCGCCTGTCACCTCTACCTCTTTTTTTCTTAATTTCGTGCGAATTTGCGGCGTTGTCGGTGAATTTGGGTTAACGGGTTCTCGTGTGCGAATTAAACTTTCAAATTGCGTTCGAAAATACGCTTTTACGTTTGTGCACGATTTTTTTTCGTTCGAACTAATCGCATGCGAGTAAATTCGAACACATTCAAAAATACGACCCCTGTTCTGAGTTTGTTTCTGTGCATATATCTTCTATCTAGATATAGCTAAATTCATTAAGTGCAAGGAAAGGTTTGTAAGATAATTACTGATATGTGATATTAATTTTTCTGTTGAATTTTCTTTCGAGATTGAATAATAGGTTTCACTAACAATCAGTAAAAATACTTACAATGTTGTTTAAATAGATTGTTATATCTGCTGCATATAAACGTTTCCTTACCGGATTTGCCGTTACACGTATAAAGATAATAAAATAGCAAATTTATATGCAGGAGTAAAAAAACTAATTTCGCGCAAACTGGCAAAATATTTGTTATTGAAAAATTACACATCGATCGAAGATTACTGAGTATATTATACCCTTTTATGAATTTAGAAGTTTTATTATTTATATAAATGTATAACCTTATTATTGTAAAACAATGTTTGAGTGTTTTTCGCTTCGTAATAATTGTTGTCTATGAATTTGCAACATGATTATAATATATTTCCATTTCTATTCACGTACTATTTTTTGTTCCAGTTTGTGTTTACGGACATCAACCACAATGTAATATACGTCACAACTGACTATGGAAAAACTTTTGAAAGGAGAGATTTGAATTCCACGCCTTCAGAAATATCTTTTCATGAATTAAATCCGTCGATTTTTGTTCTTTTTGACAAAAATACCACAAAACATAGGGTAAGTTTGTACATATTTTTATCAATTCATTATTGTTTAGAAATATTTTTCTTCTAAAAAACAGAAAATTTTGTTCAAGAAATACTTAATATAAAAATGTTGGAATTGCTTAAAAATTATATATATATATATATATATATATATATATATATATATATATATATATATATAAAGTCTAGGTAAAAGTTTATGGTCGGTATGGACCTTACGTGGGATGGAGTGAGAAACACCTGTTTAAAAAGAGAGGTATATTAGGTCCGCCCCTTACTTCGCCGAAGATGCATTAATGGAAATAATAAAAAAGGGGAAATTCAACGTTGCCAAACTTATTGGTTTTATTTGACCTGTTATCTTTTTAGCATTTGAACAATGTTCTAAGATAATCAAATTTGGGCGAATTGATTTAAATGGCAGCTTACTGTTTTTTATTGAAAATATGCCACAATTTTACTTTAAAATAAGTGTCATTTAACATTGTGATTTTCACTTCGGAAATCGTTTTATATAAATAAAATTTGTTAATGTTTCGTATTTTAAGTACGATTTCCGAATTCAAAATCTAAACATCAAAATAAGCTTATTTTAAAGTCACATTGTATTTAATCCCCAATAAAAATAATAAACTGCATTATGACGCCACAATAAAAAAGCTTTATACAAAATTATTTGGCAACGTCGTGTCTCGCGTCGTCAAAGTTAGGACATTGGTAACGAGTAGAGGTGGATCGTTGAAGTTTTTATCGTTAACGCAAATTAACTGTTTTTCGTAAACAAGTAACTAGTTGATTGTTTAGCAGTAGTTTCAAGTGAGAGAGTACATAAACAAAAATAATGGCTATTATTATTAGTGAAGTATTTATTTATTATAACTTGAAAAATAAACTAAACAATACAAATAGTAAATCACACTTACATTTACATTACACGTTATTATTAAATCGCGAATCGTCTAAATTGACATTTAAAAACATAAGTTTTTCCACTTTTCTTGTTAACCGTGTTTTTCTTTTATTTAAAATTAAACCAGATTTTGAACATGTTTTCACAAGAAACAGATTTTGTTACAATACTACAATATTTTATGAATATAGTGGTTAAGTTAGGATATACATGGCGATGGTTTTTCCACCACTGTAATGGACACTCGATACAGGTGTACGTTTAGATGAGTCATGTCCAATTAATTGATCAAAAATACACCATGGACTTAAGTCATCTTTATCGATTCCTTTTTCTTGTACTGGTTGATTTCCATAGTAGTACAATCATCCTTTTCTTTAATTATATAAGTAACCAGCTTCTTAACTCTCTCTTTTGTTTTTAGATTCATTTTTAATCAGAAAAGCCCTGCACTTTAAAATCGTGAATCTATAAATGTACATAATGACAATGTGCCACTCTATCCCTCTAAATATTTTTGCTAAGCCGGATATTAGTAATTGTACTACGTCGGATACTATGTTTGTAAGGTTACCTTTTTCTAAAATTTTATTGCAAGATTCTTGCAGGCAGCGTACCGTAACAATTACTGAACTTACCCTTACAAGTATTTTTGGCCACTCATTGTACTTGTTATTTCTTTAAAATAGGACCACCTCTAGTTTCTTAGGTATAAGCTGGATCGGAACCAACTCTGAACTAATCGTATCACTAATGGGCGTCTATGAGAAATGTGGAGGGGAGACCAAAGGGAAGTATGATTGTTATCTTTGTCTATTCGTTGAAAATATGATTTTATATCTGTGTATACCCTCGTATACATGTAAGTATTCATGCGAAAATAGAAGTGAAACGTAGTCTTGGACGACGAAGAAGTAAAGTAAAGTAAAGATCATGTGGCCCATATTTTTGAAGGACTTAAAAAAGAAGAAGAGCAAACGCTATTCTAATGCTTTAGAGAAGAAATAAAGTGTTTCAACATGTAGGAAGTGAGCTTTTGACATTAATTTGTGCTTTTAAGTATTCTTCAATTGTTGGTAGATCCCTTCTTCATCGATCAACGCTTGAGCGTATCCGTTTTCATTAAACTACTAGAAATCTTTTTAATACTGTTTGTTATTCTCTTAACAGAACAATGGAAAATACATCAACTGTTTATTTTAAGATAATTAAACTTATTACAACGTCTGCTGTAGATAAATACTATAAATTGTTTGTCGTTATATTTAATTTTGGGTGTTTGATCACTAATTTAGATATAATACAAGTATTTTGGGATCATTATATTTACGACATTTATCATTTTATGTACATACTGGTACGTTGAAGCAACAATAACAATTATTAAGGAGTATTTCTTTTCCTAATATTTTAATAACTATGAGTCCGTCAAGATTGTATTTATGAATATTTAATTGATGTTCTCTTATTCCTTAAAAACTATACGTCATATTTAATCATTACTCCCATTTTTGAGATGAGTTGGTCCTTTTACAATTTTTGTAAATTCTTACTTTCTTAGTTGTATTGTAACGAAAAAGCTAAGAACAGTACATGGTAAAAACTGATTTAACTGACTTAACGAAGACCACGTTGCTCAGTTTGGGAGCTTCATTGGTGGTGGCTAAGGATATAGATGATAGGAAAATAACAGAAAAATCAAATAGATAAATAAAAGTAGATAATAATTAGTGAACACTTTGATAAAAGAAAAACAAGAAAAACTGAACAGCTACAGCTAAACTTCAAAACAAAACAGGCGCCAATGACTCTTAACCTGAGAGTCGCAAAGGACTCTAGATTAAATAAATTACACATTGGAGTAACATTTCTCTCAAAGGCATAAAAAATCACGTCAGAAAACATGTCAACGAATTATCAAAGAAAATTATAAAAATTGAAATATTTACCCATAAGCTGAAACAGATTATATATTCAATAAAATCTTTAAAAAAAGTTATATGTGGTCGCTAAAATATTATTATTTAAATAAAATAATAAGTCTTAAAAATATTTTTATTAAATGCTCTAAAAAAATTATGAACAAATACATATTGACTTAAAAAAACAACAGATAATGCCACATATTTTCATCACGAACATGTATTTATTAAGTACTTAACAAAACAGTTGTCTTAAGAGCATTATTGTGGTCAGTCATAGCTTTAACAGGTTGCAGTCTTTAAATCTCTAAATTAAACTTAATACGCAAAAACATAACAAAATGACAAATAAATGAATAATTGAATACAACCTGAATCGAATTCAACGGGCCTTTATTTCGTTTATCTTAAAATTATGCCACAAAAATCACAGGAAGTTCCATAATTCCTATAATTAATTCATAAAATATTATATTCGTTAAAAAAACTTTTCTTACTGACAAAAAAAATTAGCAAATTTAATAATAAAATCTAATGTCTCTAATTAACTGCAAAAACCATTAAAAGGTGCCATTAAAAATGCATTGCCAGTGGGACTCGCATCATAATATGTGAGTTCTCAATCACGACTAAACTATATTAACGTCAGAATGCATTTCAATATACAAATAACAACTAACTGCCCAGACTGAAATTGGGTTTTGCTCTTTTATTAATTTGCCAAAGCTAATAATGATGGGTAGAGCACTTTCGAGAATTGCTGGAAGGGGAACCTACTAACAATATAGTGCTGGAATACCGAAATGAGGAACTCGTGGAACCCCCCTCGGTAGATGAAGTGAAAATATCTATAGAAAAATTAAGGAACCACAAATCCCCAGGTAGCGATGGTATCCCAGCAGAGTTATTTAAGCACGGTGGAGAGCAGCTCACCAAGGTGATGCGAGAAATTGTTTGTAGAATTTGGTCTGAGGAGCAAGTGCCTGAAGAATGGAGCTTAGGCTTGATTTGCCCGGTACACAAAAAGGGAAACCAACTGGAATGCAATAATTACCGCCGAATAACTCTCCTAAATACAGCATACAAGATATTGTCAAACATTTTGCACGAGAGATTAAAGCCATATACCGAAACGTTTCTGGAGAATATCAGGCAGGATTCAGGCGTGGACGTTCAACCATTAACCAGATCTTTACACTACGACAGATCCTCGAAAAAGCGCAAGAGTTTAACATAGATATGTATCATATTTTTGTCGATTTTAAAGCGGCATATGACAGTGTCTTTAGACCAAGTCTTTACAACGCTGTGAGTGAGTTAGGAATTCCAAAAAAACTCATATGTTTGATAAAACTGACAATGGCGAAGATGCTATCAGCAGTAAAAATTCAAAACGATTCGTCAACCCCATTTGAAATACATAGGGGGTTAAGGCAGGGAGATGCGCTGGCGTTTCAGCTTTCTAGCATATGCAGACGACGTGGACATTATAACAAGAACTAGGGCGAGAACTGCGAAAATCCTAAACGAGCTAGTAGCAGCAGCAGAATGAATGAGGTTACATATAAATAAAAAAACACAAATATGTATATAATCAATATAAAATATTAATAGAACAAAAGTAAAAGATGCTGTCGAACAGGCAGCTAAACTGAAATGGAAATGGGCTGGACATACCGAACGTCTTACGGATGGCCGATGGAATAAAGAAATCGGGAATTGGCGGCCATATGAAGCCAAAAGACCACGAGGAAGACCTCAAACGCGCTGAAGTGACGATATTAAAAGAACTGCAGGACCAATGTGGAAACGTCTTACAAACAACAGAGATGAATGGCGAGAATTAGGTGAGGAATATATTCGGTAATCCGAATAGAGAAAAGTGCTTAAAAAATCAATATAAAAAATATATGTAATTAAGCCGCAAAAATAATTCCATACATCATAAAAAATTTTATTGATAGCATATTTACAATTAAAAAAAAATTATATAAAAGAATTTTGGTAAATCGCATTATTATATTCACAAAATAACTGCTTATTCCAACATTAGAGTTGTTAGGACTTGTGTCTATAAAGATATATATATATATTTTATCAATTTCCGGATTGAAAATTGAATCGTCAAAACAAATGTAAAATGTAATTTCCATACAATCAATAATCGTTGTTAATCCC